GGACAAAAGATGGACGACGAGGGATGAAAAAGAGACGGAGGAGGAGGAGGTAGGGAGGAGGAGAGATGGACAACGACGAGGAGCAAAGGAGGAGGGCAATGAGATCAGGAGGAGATACCACGAAAGTTCGAACTTCGAACTTGAAAGTTGCCATTAAAAATAAAATAAAAAAAAGTGACGAGGCTGTGACACGTGGCAGTCGGCATCACACCTTGCAGTCCGCATATGGAAGACGACGACATTCCAACGGTTATTCAAAGTTTAGTAGTTTATTAAGTTACTAAGTTTACGTAAGAAACGTTGACGAGACATTGACGAGGAGGGGAATGTGGAGGAGGAGAGATGAATGAGGAGGACAGATGAACGCTGAGTGGAGGAGGAGGAGTGGAGGACGAGGAGTGGAGGAAGAGGAGGAGGAAGATGTGGAGGAGGAGAAAGATGTGGAGAAGGAGGAGGAGGAAGACGTGAAGAAGGAGGAAGATGTGGAGGAAAAGGAGGAGGAGGAAGAGGAGGAGGAGGAGGTGAGTTCGAGGGAAGGCAGGCGGGCTGGTGCACACTCACCTTGGAGGGCGGTTGCAGGCGATGGTCGCTCCAGAGCTCGGCCTCAGCAACAGTCGAACTTCCAAGCGCAAGGGGAGCTGAGCACTGCTCGTGGCGGGTGAGGCGAATGAACGACACTTTGTCACGACGCGGATTGGAAGCGGCTTGAGGACAACGACACAACAGCCGTTGTCGACCTGCTCATACCGACAAACAGCACCCCCCACCCAAAACCAAAATTCGAAATTGTTTCGGGCCGCGCTTGAGCGTGGCCCGCTAAAAATTTCCCTCGGCCCCGAAACGATTTTTGCTGGGGGGGGGGGCGAAGGATGAATCGACAAGTAGGGTTTTTTTTTTTTTTAAGTTTTTTTTGGGGGGCTCCGTGCGCCCCACAGGTCGTGCGCCGTACTGTCGGGGTGCGCTTAAGCGCCAACCGTCCGTGAATCAGCGGACGATGTCCGCTTGCATGTATAGTGAAAACCTAACAAACGATAGAACCTTACATTTTTTATAGAATGAAAAAGTAAAAGTCTAATTGTTATTTTTTACACAAAAAGAGAGTGTTTTTAACTGTTTTTCGATAAAGGAGGCAAAAAACGAGGTGAAAAGTCAATTGTTCCTCAAAATGTGCAAGAAAATCATTTCTTGCAAAATCCTCTTATATGACTATAAGTCATTCTCAGTAGATTTGCGAAAAGCAAAGCTCAAATGGGACAATTTTTAAGGAGTACAAGGCAAACTTGAAAGATGTAAAAAAAAAATGGATTTTGGTAAATACTCATTTCTAGAACTATAAGTCATTTTCAGCAGTTAGGTAAAAACCAAGATCTGCGAAAACTAATTTATAGGACTATAAATCAATTTAGGCGTTAGCAATAAAACCCTTAGCAAAAAATATATGTTATTCTAGGCTACCAGGACCCGGGCGGCCAACTCGTGCAAGGACTCCCAGCAAAAAAAAAATAAAAAAAATCCAAAAACTCCGAAAAAAAAGTATGTTATGCAGAAAAATAAACTGAACAACTTTTGTTTCAGGGTCACATTGAAATTCTTTACCAATTTTTAAATAAAAATAAAATTTTTAAAATATTATTTTTATTTTTAAATTTTTAAATTTTTTTGGCCCGGCCGGGCAAGTGACCCTGGGCCACTCTGGCAGCCTAGATGTTATTTAAAATAAGAATTCAAACAACTTTTGTCAAGGAGACACCGTCAAATTCTTAGTCAAACACGAGTTTAAAATTAAAAACAAATGGAAAAATTTTAAAATAAACAGTAAAAAATAATATGCGCGCTCAGGTATGGGAGAATATGTTTGAGAACATGTTTAATCGTTCGAAACCCCCCCGAATACGTTCATCATGGTATACATCGTATAGGACTATAAACATGATTTTTTTAAATAACAAAAAAAATAGATATTTCAGTTCTTGAACATACGCTGCTTCACCAGGTAGTGATTTTACGTAGAAAAACCTGCTTCTCCCCTCGCCACTTCCAGTGGTTCTTAAAAAGTAATTTTTGATTCTTTTTTTTGTGGTTATTTTGCTTCACGTAGAATTTTGTTCCTGGAGGAGGCCCGAAAAACGTACTATCATAATCTTGAATACATTTCGTGCAAACCTAACAATTTGTTTTGTTAGGTTTTTACGAATCCTGTGTTTATACTATTAGGCGTATTTGAGGTCATTTTCTGTTCAGATCCAGCGATAATGACCGGGCGTTCTGTTCGGGTGAAGACGGTATTAGTTGAAGCTACCCTGACTCAGGAATTAGAATTTCCAAACTTGGAGTCAGTCTGGCCAACGCTGATGTACCACCCTATCTATAGGTAGTTGCACCAAATCATTGACTTAAGGTCCAATCCTCAAAACCAGGTAAGAGATGCTTCCTTCCATCATTAAGGGCACCTGCTAGTATATTAGATAACCCAATAAAATGAAGGAATCTCAAAGAAATCATCAGTTGGTTCAGACCCAATCCCCCAGACATAACATGTCTAAAGGAAACACACCTAACTAACAACAATGATAATAATAAACTACAATGCGCACTCACCAAAAAAATAACCCTCGTCAAATCCGCCCTTTGGTCCAAAGTAACAGAAAACGGCTCAACAGGAATTGTCATACTCACACACAAAAAATCAGCAGCCAGTAAAGCATTAAAAATAATGAATGTCAACCAAGACAATACCTCAGGCAGATAAATCAAACTGGACATAAAATATAAACAGAAAGAAATGACTATCATAGAAATATACGACCCCACTTCCCCACAGGAAAAAAAAACCTTCCTCCTTATAATAGGCAACACATCCCCACCCACCCACATACTATCATCATGGAAGATTTGAACTTTGTTCAGGACCCCAACTTAGACAGAATATCACACTCTCAAGATCCGACACCTCAATCTAACACCATGGACTTAAATGACTTTATAGCTAGGAAAAACCTAATAGACCATTTTCTTCTACTGCACCCAGAAAATAGAAGATATTTTTGCATTAGAAAAAACACACTAGGACCAACCTCCTTCTCCCGAATAGAATTCTTCCTTACTTTTGACTCGCTATCAGGGGTTGTACAAGATTATACCGTTCACACCAACCCATACCACAAAGACTTGGATCACAAAGTCATATCTCTCTCACTCAGACTCACTAAGGGAGGATACACAAGTAAAAGTTTTTTCCGCTTCAATAGTGCCCTACAAATGAAATAGAAATAGCAGAAATACAGTTGCAGAAACAACCAAACTCAACATTCTATGCAGAGGTGTTGGACAAATCTAAGGAATAACTTGCCGAATGGATCAAACTAAGACCCAATGACCTCCAAATAAGGGCAAGAGTAAAAAAATGGAAACTGGACGAGAAAACGACCAAATTCTTCTTCAAAAAAATCAAAATCAACTCTAGGAACTCTAAAATAGAATGCCTACAAAACGAGAATGAAAACTCATTCACAAAAAAACAACAAAACTAGTCAATAGCAACCTCATTCTACAAAGAACTCTACACCACTAAACTCAGAGAGGTAATAACAACGAGATTAAAAGAGCAAGAAAAAAAAAATTAACACACCTAGATCAATCCATCTTAACAGATTCTGCCAAATCATTAGAAGAACTTATATCACTGGAAGAACTTTACATTGCTCTCAAGGACCTCAAACCCAATAAACTTGAAGCCCAGAAAAGGGATGATCTTTCTAATAAAATTTGGATGGCAAGTTGACACACCCTATAACCACTCCTCAGGTTCCTCATGAGAGCCTGGGAGGAAGAATCGCTAGGCCCAGGCCTGAGCACGAGAGTGGTGACGCTCCTATACAAAAAAGGAAATAGAGAGGACATAAGAAATTATAAACACATCTCACTGTTAAATGTAGTATACAAAATTTTAGCCAAACTCCTAGCCATTAGAATAAACCGGATTACAGGAAAGTGTTTTCATCTAGATCAGACAAGTTTCATTCCAGGAATACTTATACTAAACAATGTTGTGTCCCTCTGCAAATCCACAATGATAATTCATAAAAAACGGATTGCAACGGTCATTCTCTTCTTTGACTTTGAAAAAACATACAACCAAATTAATTGCGATTTCCTCCAACTTGAAGGTAGTATGAAAAAAATGGGAGTAGGCCAGATCTTCCAAAAATGGGTGAGAATACTTCACAACGTGCACAAGGAATTCAAGCTAACGGCTTCCTCTCGAACCCCTACCCAATGACAAGGTCAGTAAGACAAGGAGATCCACTAGCAACACCGATCTTCCTTTTCGTCATGGAGGTCATCGTTGGTTTCCTAAGAAAAAACATTTCCATCGAGAGCATCCAGAACATCAAGGACAAAACACACATCCCAACTACTCTATTTTTTGCAGATGACCTCACTGTACTTATCGGGGCACCAAACTCCTCATTTCAAGCTCTTACACGAGCAATGCAAGCATTCCAACTGACTTCATAAATGAAAGTTAATTGGGCAAAAACAATAGGATGGTGGACCACAGAAACACCTCCGCCCATCGAGCTAACCCCGACAGGACTACAGTGGAAGGATCCAAACTCCTCAATCCGCTTCCTAGGCATAAACATCAGCCTCAAAGGATGTCACCAAGCATAGGCAACGACACTCTTGTTCTCAATAGTCAATAAAATGCACTCATGAAAAACCGTACACACCTCCCTGTTAAGCAAGGTACTTGCACTCAACAATTTTATCCTAGCAATGATGTGGTACTCCACCTCCATCTGATTTCCCATCACTTACTTCCAAAACCAATCAAGGAAAAAAACAGCGGTATTCCTATGGACAGATAACCCAGTTAATCAACAGATTCAACACTTTATCCACAAAGTAGCCCGACAGATAGTCACAAACCCAAAAACGAAAGAGGGTCTAGGCCTTATAGATCCTTCTCATCAAATGGATCATAAGACTAGCCCTGCATAACAATCTGCAATGGACCCCACTACAGTCTAGCCCTAAATCACGTAAGAGAACTTGCACCATTCATCTCCCCGACCAACATGTCAGATCTCTTATGGGTTTTCAACAAAGTTTAGCCTCTCCCAAAAGGGAAACGGAGACAACTCGAACAAACACTCCAAGGAATCACCAATGACATAGCCCAAACCAAACCCCTATGGGAACAGATCCTACAATCCTGGAGAGTCATCTTCCAGAATCCGACTAGGCCCGAAGAAAAAAGACGAATTCCTTAGACAACCACTCTTCATAAACCCACTGATTAAAACGATAAAGGGGAAAATATTTCTCTCTCCAAGTCAGAACCTAAATGGAAACATTTGCTAGAAAAGGGCATATGGCAAATCAAACACATCATAGATGAACCAAATAAAAACTGGAAAACAAAAAGGGACCTACGTGAAAAACTAAAAGGAGTATATCTCCTACAAACCAACCTAAACCACATCGTATAATGTATTCCACTACATTGGAGAGCATTACTAAAATCAGAACAAAATTGACATTACAGAGATTGGGCTGCCATTACAGACATCCCCATAACCCAGGAAGTCCATTTCTTCAAGAACTATGAACCCCATCACAACCACTTCATGTGTTGAGACATATACACTATAGAGGAACCAGGAAACCCAGTAAGCTACAT